TACCCGTGGTGGGCAGAGCACAGAGATAGCCCATTGTGTAACTTTGTGCTTAATTACAAACAAACAAACTTAGATAAATTGGCTTATGAAACGTCAACCAACACTAAAATAAATATTATGGTACTTCTTTGCCTAAATAAAAAAGGAAAAGAATAAGCAAAACTACTGTAATCTTTTCTGTTTTTGTAGTTTGTTCATTATCCGTAACATACACATGCTTGTTACTGTTTTCCATAATTTAAAATGGCAAATGTTGTGCTTTAACCTGAACATTATGCATCTCTAGAACAAGTCTGGAAAATATCATTCACCAGCTTTGCCTACTTTTGATTATGGAGTTACGTAAAGTTTTCCAGTAATAAAAACAATTAGTACAAGTATAATTTTCTTAGTGGTATGAATGCGAATAAGAAAATTTGGTGTGCACTCTTTTGCTAACTTTTATTGTTAAAAATGTAAACTTTTCTTTAAAATGCCTTTCGAAATAACCCGCATTTCATCATCATTATTCACCAGGGAAGTAACTTCAATGAAATAGTAATGATGCCTTATGAAATAATGAACGCTGGACTAAACGCTTGCAACGCGAAAACCTAGCGACCACGGCCAGCGGATCTCTCCTTTATCTATGAATCCAATTTTCGTCTACTTAGCTGGAGCAATTACCTACTTGCCACATCAGCGTTGAATGAAAAAGAATATTGATTAATAAAGTACCCTCCCCTCCTTTACCCAGTCACTCTCGTTCCTAGAACTCATTTCGCATAGCACAGCTCAAAACGAGGGTATCATCTAGCGTCACTGCTGCTTCCGGTTCCTTCTCACACGTTATCGTCCGTAAAAGTACCACACTTTCCAAGCCGATGCAATATAATTGATAATTTGTGTAATATTAGCCATATTCTGATCTGCATATTACCAGCTCTGCAAATTATTAAGCGTTTTGTTTATAAAATCAATATTTACTTATCAGTATACAGCTATCTATGTTAAATATGGTAATATCACTTCCATGCAAACTGCTTAGTTGTCAAACCAAAAAGAACTATGTAGGAACTATGTATGTTAAAGATGGTAATATGACTTCATCAAAACTGTTTAGTTACCACACCAATGTGAAGTTAATAATATGCGTACAGTTATGTATACTAAAGATGGTAATATGACTTCCATCCAAACTGTTTAGTTACCATGTTTTAGAATTCGAGAAGAATGTACTAATTTAAGAATAAATGATAGTTAATTCAGATTAGAAAAATCCAGACACGAATCCAAAACCTTTCAAAGGAAGAAATTCATACAGGGGAGTATAAATTATACCAAAAGATAATATTTTTTGATTCACAAGTACTGTTTTAAAAGTAAAGGTTATCCTCAGTTCTTTAATAGTAGTCCCATTATAGATTTATTTCTTTGTCGTCCTACTGTGAGTCAGTGGTAAATTTATGGACCTTCAAAGTAAAACTCCGGGGTTCGATTCCCCGCAGTGGACAGAGCGCAGAAAACCAATTGTGTAGAAACGACAACAACTTTCTTCGTTTTGTTTTGAAGAAACACAATATATCTTTCTCTTCTGTCTGTTTGTTTGAAGCTAAGCAGAAAGTAAGAAACCCGTTTTCTAGTCCGTAGACAACATACCGCTGTGCCACTGGGGGGATTTTGGCATTGAATATGTAAAATAAAAACGACACATAAAATTC